TTTTTTTTTTTTTTTTTTTCATTCGCAATCTTGCGTTTCCTCTCTCTCCTCCTCCCCCTCCCCCCCCCAAAAAAATAAAAATAAAAAATAAAAATGCAGGCCCCTTCTATTCTAGGGGGTGTCAGTCCAGTTGCTTTTTACCGGCAAGCATGGGAGTACAGACGATAGAAAGAGAACAAGAGACAGCCTTGCCCTTGCTGCACTAGACGCCTGTGCAAGGGGGGGGGGGTGTGCTTTCCATTTCATGTTCTTTAAATTTTGTTTTTTTGCCATGTTTATTGGATCTGTTCAGGTTTGCAAGTATTTCTTGGAGGCAGTGGAGAAGAAGCAGTATGGGTGGTTCTGGGTGTGTCCCAACGGTGGAAAGGACTGTCAGTATAGACATGCCTTGCCGCCGGGGTACGTCCTCAAGTCACAGATGAAGGCCCTCCTGGAGGAAGAAGGGGACAAGCTGCCAGTGGAAGATGAGATTGAGACTGCGGTAATGTTCAGAATCTTCCAGATGTGTCGGTGACTTGCTTATATTTGTTTCTTTTCTTCTGTAGTTTATGTTTTTTGGTTGTTTAGTCCCTAATGTTTTTTTGCCTTGTGATTTTCTACTCGGGAAGTCCAGCGCATAGTTAGTCGATCTGTTCATAGCCCTTGACTATAAGTAGCAATGAATGTACTTTGCCGCCATCTCTGGAAAGATGCACTCGTTTGGTTTTCCTTTCGTGTGCCGTGCGGCGAGGCCCTATGTCAATCAGCACGCCTTTAGAGGGCTAAAGCAAAAGTTTTCCATACCTTGTGTTTTCCCGATGTCATCTGCCGATTGAAAGGATCTGGCGGCATGAATGTGCATTTCTTGGAGAGGAGAGAGGGAGGTACAGGATAGGGGTGGATGCGCAATGTCCACGACCCTTGTGTTTTCTAGTATCACGTCATCCCTTTTTTTTTTTATTCCCTCTATTTCACCTTTCACTACCTACCTACCACCCCTTTTAAGCCTATACAGGGAACACCTGCAAGCATAGCTACTTCTCACAATTAAGGGGAGGCATGTTGGCCCCCGCCCTAATTGGCGGTGGTCACCCTAAGCGAACTATGTCATTGTTTGGCACCAAGCGTGCCACAGGTGGTCTATGGGGATCGAACCCACGACCTCCTGAATGCCATTTGCGTGCCTAACCAACTGAGCTCATGTCTACTGATAGGGAGGACATCTATGTAGCAAGTAATCTGCATTTCGAGAGGGGTGCAGGACTTGCCAATGGGGATCTGGGTGCGAGGTTACGGGCGACGAGCGGGAAATAGACCCAGTTGATAGGTATGGGGCGGTAATCGAGTTGATGGGAGAGAGGATGAATGACAATGGTAATTGAGTTGATGGGAGAGGTGATGATTGACGATGGCACTCGAGTTGATGGGAGAGATGATGATTGACGATGGTACTCGAGTTGATGGGAGAGATGATGATTGACGAGGACACTCAGATTGTTCAGGGAAGTGAAGGTGAAGCTTCACATACGGTGCTGCTGCAAACGGTGGATGAGTCTCACCAACTGGCGATGCTGATCGGGGGTTGAAGCCGCGGCAACGCTGTCGCAACGATCATCAACCAGAGGGTACGTGTCGGACGGGAGACCCGTCCTGTGGGGGTAGGGGCTGTCCTGACTGCCAAGGCCTGTAGGACTTGGGCTGCCACTCGCTCGCAGATGGGTTGGAGATGCTGGGGTCGCTGGTCGTGACCCTGTGCTTATGTGGAGGTTCTCCCTTTTTGCCTCCCGAACCTGCCCTCCCACCCGCCGCCGTGCAGGTTGAAATGCTCACCCTTTACCCTTTAAGGAGGGGGTCCTGCAACCCTTGATGGGATGGGAGATAATCTTTGATGGGGGGTGGGATGACCCCCTCCTTGTGCTCTGGCATGGAGACTCCGAGGTGAGGGGCTCCTTGGGCGTCCCTGTGCCAGTGGGGCTGGGTTGCCACCCCTTGGAGCTCAACCTTGTACTCCCCTTGTACTCCCCTCCTCCACCTCCCTCTCCCCCCTCGCTACCCTCCTTGCCTCTCCACCTTGGAACCATTATGAACGCTTGTACCCTCGCCACCAGCCGGGGTGCGTAACCCTGATTCACACAAATGCAAATACAGTTTAATACACCGCATTAAACAACCCGTGAATTGCTGTGTACGAGATGTAGACTTGTTGGGGCTAATAACTGGGATAAAAAAAAAATAAAAAAATTAGTGGGAGTTATAATCAGTTATTCATTGATGGTAATAAAATGACTGCGTAGATCTGGATTTTATGATGAAGGGGGTAGACCACATGAGCCAGTTGAGATGAAATAAAACTTGGAACCCTGAATGAATGTTACAGGGGTCTCCTTTCTTTTTTTTCTTCTTTTTTTTGGGGGGGGGGGGGGGGGGGGAGGGAGGAAGGGAGATAAACTAGATAATGATGATAATCCCTAATGTAAAATTGGATCCATCAGGATTTGAAATTTGAACTCGTGTCTGCGGAGGGATCCATCAGATTTGGAACGATACAGAGAAAATTAGAATAACATGGCCCCTGCGCAAGGAGGACGCACACAAATCGATAAACGATCCAAAAGAAAACAAGAAGTGGCTTTGAAACCACCAGTACTTGGCCCAGCTATCGGCCGCGGCGCTTCCCCGTTAACGCGCCGCGCCTGTCGGGCTTCGGGGTACCGGACCACAATGGCTGGAAGCGCCAGCCAACAAAAAACTTGAACGGTGCCCCGGCGGTTCGGCGAAACTTGGTGCGCAGGGGGTCGGCCGGCTCGGCATCGATAGCCGGGCCAAGTACTGAGTGGTTAAGAAAAAAAAAGAAAAAGCATCATGTTTATTTTATTGTAAGCTGCTGTCAGTTTGTTGGTGATTAGACTGATTAGTGTTCTTGCGTGTTTTCTGGTCTTTTGTATTCGCAGAGGCATAAACTGCCAGCAAGCACACCATTGACTGGAGAGCTGTTTGCTGAGTGGAAGAGGAAGAAAAAGGAGAAGAAGGATGCAGAAAATGCGGAGAAACAGGCAGAAAGGGCGAAGGCGGATCGCATGAGGTGAAATAAACTTTTTCTGCAAACTACTCGTTGATTGTATTTTCAATTTTCAATTTGTTCTTTAAATGATCCTCTTAAAACCATGTATTTGGCATACTCCCGTAAGCTAAAAAAAAAAAAGAGCAAAACCTTCCTCTCTCGAGCTTTTCTGAAAACGGTTTGACAGCTTTTCCTCCAATTAACTGCGGTCCAGTATAGTCCTGTGACTCCTATCGGATGCAAAAAACGCTCAGAAATTCATAGTAAGTAGGAGTACATACTACATAGATCTCTTTTTCTTCTTCTTGCCCCCCCGCCCCCCCCTTTTTTTTTTCCTCTTTTCTTTCTTTCAAAGGGGCTTAGGCCTTAACATTATCGTATGTTTTTTATCACAGCGGGGATTTCAACTCATGAGCTGTTTACTAACAGTTATAGATGCGTGTACCGTTCAGCCACATGGATCGCTGGCCCACTAGATCTTTTTTTCTGTCTTTTTTTTTTCCCCCCGCTTCTTTTAGATCTCTTCTTCTCATTTGGAGCAGCAGGTTTTTGTTTTTGTCTACGCTTTGCGATGCATCATCAAGAGACTTCTCTCTCCGTCACTGGCACGGAGTGTGCTTCTTTCTGCTGCAAGAGTCCCGCCGTCTGCGTACTCAACTGTCGATGGATGGTTTGGGGTTGCCCATCTGGTGGAGAAGGTTACCCCTCTGTTTGCTGTCAAATAGCGTATACCGTTTCTGTCGCAGCGCAGTAGTCTTGGGTACCAACATCTTGATGCATGACTTGGGGCTATCGTGCCTGCCGAGCGCGCCGTCCTTCCACTTACGATCAAACAAGAAGAACCGTATTGACGTTCTGGAGGTGCTGCTCCGCTCGAAACCACAGCAGTACTATAGGCCGCTATCGGGGCTATCGAATTTTATTCGGGTGAAGACAGTAGTTTCCCCCTGTG